GAAAGATTCTTTGAATTTTAAAAATAAAGGAATATAAGTAACATATCAGTGCATCCCTAGGCACATGCAGTCATTTTAGAGAGAATAAAGGTTTTAAAAATACGTGTATTGGTAATATATTTCTGGTGACATATTTCCCCAGGATATGAGAAAACTGGAGAGCCATAACTGTCTTAGTCCATTTTGTTCTCTGTCACAAAGTGACTGAGTTGGGGGCTTTATAGAGAAAAGAGGTTTAATTGGTTCATAGTCTGAATGCTAAGTGAGGTAACCATGTCTGATAGGGACTTGAGTCTTTATCTCCCTATGTTCGTAGAAACACACTAGCAGGGGCACAAGTGGAAGAGATCACACATCCTGAGAGATGGAGGGAACATAAGGCTGGACAAAGCAAAGAGATCTTTAACTTTTTTCTTAAAATATTTTTTCTTTTTTATTTTATTAATTACACTGTTTTGAGATCTTAAACTTTATAATCCACTTTATAATATGTTTTGAGTCGTTGCTCAAAGCACCCTGTGAATTCATGGCCCTTGGAACTTGCTGCATAGACCAGGCTGGGCTTGAACCCGGAGATCTGTCTGCCTCTGCCTTTTAGTGCTGAGACTAAAAGTGTGCACCACCAGGCAGGCCCAGCCCAGCCCAGTGTCTTGAGACTTAATCTACTCCCTAGACACAGGCATTGATTAACTCTAAGGGTGGTGACCTCAAATCAGCACCATTATATTATATGGAGATAAAGCTGCCTGCATAGAGGCATTTTTGGGGCAAAATATATCCAAATATTGACAGTGGCTGTAGTCAACAACATAATTCTCAAAAGCATCAAGTTAAGCGAAAACACAAGGCTTTGGGGCTGGGTGGATTGCTCACTGGTACAGTGTTTGCCTAGCATGCTTGAAGGATTGGATTTAATCTCCAGGACTTGTTTGTTCTTAAGGAGCCAAAGGACTACCCAAGTCTGTGTCTGAAGTCCATGTATGAGTTTCTGAGGACTGCGGTAATATATTGCTAGAAACTATGTGGCTTTTTGTGGAACATGTGCCCAGGGAATGGGCCTGGAGCCAGAGTGAGGTTGAGACTTGTCCAAACCCTGAAAATCTCAATCTTGAGACCAGCAGAAATAAGGATTGCTCCTTCCCTATTGTGTGAATGCTTACCCAGTGGGGCCCTCCACCTCCACCATTCTTGAGGTGGTCATGTGTCCTGGTGACCAGGACATGTCCAGCTAGCACCTGGAATTCTTCTCCATGAAAATGAAGCATTCCTAGCACCTCAGCCCCAGCCAATGATGTACACTCACTACAAAATCCCTACCCACTTCCCCAAGGTTTATATAGCCCTTATTTCCACAATAAAGAGATGTGCATCACTGGAAGAGCTGTGTCTCTGAAAGGGTTGTATCAGAGCCCCTGGGCCTTCACTGCAGGATCGCAATCCTTCTGACTCATTAGCCCAGCTAAACTTCATTCCTTCAAGTCCAGCAGCTGTATGCACTGGGTGCTTGGATGATCCTGGGCCACAGCACAACAGCTTTCGTTCTGTGGCTTTTTGAAGGATCTAGGAAAAACAACGTCTTTATACTCCAGATCTGCACTGCAAAGGCAGACCATAAAAAAGACTCCAGCCAGTCCAGCTTGGAGAAATAGATGAGTTTGTTAGCATTACTTTTAGAAGCCTGAGTGGCTAATAGGCAGCTACACCGCTGAAAGCTTCTCACCCCTCCCTCACCAAGCTACTGTTTCACATGACTCTAATTCTACAGAGAATTAATGCAAACTTGGGTTCAGAACTCTACTGTTAAAGCAGTAGAGGTGACGACAAGCTCAGACACTGTAAGCAGATGATATCTGACCATGAAACTGATATCTCGGTGTTATATTATCTGCTCTTTCCTTGTCCCTATCAGAGATTCTGCCTCTCTGCAATGACTTCTCCAACCGTAGGAAGAGTTGCTTGTATGCTACAGTGGGGTACAGCTAAAAATGATGGCTTGCTATCTAAGATGAAGTTAGTCTGGTTAGGCTGTGAAGGATTAGTCCCAGTGTATTACCAGAGTCTTCAGATCAGAGCACCTGAGTCCTGGCATCCACAACAAACGATCAGCACCCCATAGTCAACCCAATTAAAGAGACAAGCAATCATGAAAAGCAGAGAAGAGATTCATTCGATGTGGTCTCATTTGGAAGAGAAGCAAAGTGATCCAGTCGGTCTTCCAAGTCCATCTTCAAGATCCTGAAGGTTAGGCTTAAATAGAAAGCAAGAAGTATGAACAACTAAGCAGTAAGTCACGATGTGGTGCTACTCATTGTTGACCCATCATGGTTTCTGCTCCTGTGTCTCCTGTAAGGCTGTCTGGCGAGTTGTCCTTGGAGACAAATTCCCTTCTGATTGGTATCACACTTTTGCCTATTTTTTTTCTAGGTGATATTCCAGGGGCGACCCCAACTTCTTGGTGACCATTGTTTCAATAGTCAATAGTTACGACAGACCGCTGCTCAATAGTCTGTTAGGCAGGCTGGAGAGATGGCTCAGTGGTTAAGAGCTCTTCTAGAGCATCTGAGGTCAGTTCCCAGGACCCACACAGCAGCTCACAACTGCCTGTAACTTAGTTCCAGGGGATACAACACAAAACATTAATGTACACAAAATTAAAATAAAATTTACAAAGTCTGTTAGGCAAGAGAAGGGCACATATGTCTTTCTCTTCATTCCTGTCAGGACAGATACAACTTTAAGGAGCAGGCATTTCTCGGCTAGTTCGTGAAGTGCTTCTGTGCAAGCGTGAGAACTCAGTTAAGATTCCTACTACCCTTGTAAAACCCTGTGGCCATGCCTATAACTCTAGCACCGGGGAGTGCAGCCTTGCACATCTCTGCAGCTCACTAGCCAGCTACTCTATTCAAACTTGTGAGCTCCAGGTGAGAGACCCTGTCTCAAAAACTGAGCTGAAGAATAATGGAGGAAGACACTTGATAATCACACACACACACACACACACACACACACAGAGAGAGAGAGAGAGAGAGAGACAGAGAGAGACAGAGAGAGACAGATAGAGAGATAGAGATAGAGAGAAGCTTTCTCTGCTTCTTCCTAGCTTTCACTATTGTTGAAATCTTCAGCATTCCTTGGCTTGAAGCTGTATCGCTGCTATACTCAGCCTCTATCATCACTTGGCTTTTTTCCCTCTACCTTTCTGTATTGATACATATCTGACTTTCTCTATGATGGTTGGTTGCATTTAAAGCCAGTGTAAACTCATTATGACTTGTTTATATTCACACATTCCCTATTGCCAAATAGGGATGTCTGTTACATATTGGAGGGTGTCCAGGTCTTCTGAGGAAACCCATGGTGACCTATGACAGGCTTTTCAGGGAACGGCCTCTGAGTTGAGATTTGCTTGCTGGATATCTATTATGGGTTACCCTGGGAACAACATCTATAAGAGAGTGAGGGAAGCAGGGTTAAGCTGAAGAAGTTACAATAGAGCCCACAGGTTCGCAGGGAACGCTGAAGCTGTGAAGGCTTTTCAGAGACATCCATACGTTAAGTAAATGGTCCAGGCTTTTTTATGTCTGCATCTACTAGTCATGGAGTGCAAGCTCCCATTGTGGAGGAGGTGAACTAGCTCCCCTGGCTGAAGATAATGCTCACAAAGGGACACAGTTGTGAGCCTTCAGCAACCAGCACTCTGGCTAATGGGAGAGTAAATGTCTTAGTCCCGTAAGGGAGGTCTGGACTGATGCCACTATACGATGTTTATAAAGCAGAACGTAAAAATAATACAGATTAAACAGTATTATGCATTTGTATATCTATATGTCTAGACATCTAAATATATGTGTATATATGTGTTTGTGATAAAAATATGTTTAGGACAGTTCCTGGGTGGTTAGTTTGCAATTTTTTATTACATTTGGCTTTATAAACAATGTTTTTATTTTTTCTTTGTCTGAGACAGAGTCCGACTATCTAGCTCAAGCTGTTCTCGAACTCCGGATCCTTCTGTCTCAACCTCCTAAGTGCTGTGCAAACACTACCATGCCCATTTATAACTAATTCTCATTTTTCAGTCTTTTTGTATGCATCAAATGTATTCATCAAGAAAATAGAGGGGAAAAAAAGAACTAGGCAAAAGCAATAGAAATAAAATTAACAAGATTCTTTGGGAGGAAAAAACATTCATGTGCAAAAATAGCAAATGCTAAGTGCATTAAGAACACAAGCATCCAGGTGAAGAAAAACACATGAAGACATCCCCCTGTGTCCTCTCCTTTGTGTTTGCTTGTGGAACGGTCCTGATGTTTGCAGGTTTTGTCTGGCAATAAGACATGGATAAAACATCATAGTTTGCTTCCCCTTTACCTAGTTGGCTTAACTGTGGCTCTATTTTTATTTTTTTTTTTTTTTGAGATAACTGGAGTGATTACTAAATCTGGTGATACAATAAAGTTAAGCAGTTACTGGGACAAGGCTCACATGTCAAGCTATGTCAACCACTCACAGGGAAGGATGGTAAATGGCTTGGCACACCTTTCTGTTTTATATAAGTCTGTGTGAGCCTATGAGTTGAAAAAATAAGGGAGCTATTAAAGCTGTACTTTTATTTATTACAGTTATTTGGTGTGTGTGTGTGAGAGAGAGAGAGAGAAACGTGGCATGTTTGTGTGGGTCAGAGGACAGCCTAAGGGAGTTGGTTCTCTCCCCCACGTGGGTCTGAGGGATGCAACTCAGGTCATCAGGCTTGGTGCCAAGTACCTTTACCCACTGAGCCGTTTCACTATTCTTAAAGCTGTAGATTTAAATTCCCTTGCTTCAAACAGTCTGATCTCAGTTTCATTTGGAAACTATGTTTATAGAAGTGGCCATGAATGTGAGCTCAAGTCCTGTTTGAGCAGAAAGAGCACTAGAGTTTTTAGGTGCAGGATGTCTCTTTGGATGGAAGAACGATCTGGCTGTGACATGTCTCTCAGTGAGTGGCAGGGTGGGTGCAGCTGGCCAGGACAATGCCCTCCTTTCCTTCCTTCTAGGAGCTGTGGGCCTGGTGGAAGAGGACGAGTCTGACTTTAGTCAAAGGTTTGTCTAACGCTGCCTATAGTCCCTGTTGGACCTTCAGATGAGCTCTTAAGATGTCGTGTTTCTAGAGCAAGGCCATGGCACTTAGGGATTCTCGCAGTGGAAGGTCTACTAAAGAGCTGGTTTCTTTGGGGGGAGAGTGGGGCTGTTCTTTGAATGCATCTTGACATGAAAATACAATGTTCTGATGGTACTGTTATTGCTTAGGGAAGTCAAGTATTGCACTCAAATTAATTTCTAATGCTAAAGATTCTATTTATTTTAAGTTAGTTTATTCATAACAGAACTTTTTTTTTTTCTCCCTGCTCAGGATTTGACAACTGGATGTGGAATCAAGGGCTGGAGAAATGGCTCAATGTTTAAGAACAGTGTCTGCTCTTCTAGAGGTTCTGAGTTCAATTCCCAGCAACCACATGCTGGCTCACAACCATCTATAATGAAATCTGATGATCTCTTCTGCCATCCAGGCATACATGCAAATACAGTGCTCATATGTATAAATAAATAAATCTTAAAAAAAAATAATGGAGTCAAAGCTCAATGTGTCTAACTGTTTGGCAGAGTGCCTCTCAGTACAGAGGAAACAGGCTCGAAGGGTGCACAGCTGGGACTCAAGCACTCTGAATCGAGAGGCTGGAGGACTGAAAGCTCAAGTATAGGGAGTTCAGGGCCAGCCTGAGCCATATGATACCCTGCCAGAAACAAAAAGCAAGCTCAGTGTGTTGAACTATATTCAACTGAAGGTCAGAGAGTACAGATGGTGACAGAGCTGTTAGGAAGGGGTAATGACAGATTTGGCTCTTGTCTCAATGATTTAGCTATGGTGGTATTAAAAAAGAAAAACTTCCCAACTTCTATGAAATTCCCTAATTATAAATTTTTCTTTTATACAATGAACTATTCCTGATTTTGCTTTGAAAATTGGCTGTGAACTTGTAGAAACTTGTATCAAAATTTAGAAAAAATGCTAATGAATTTCAGTGGAAATCTCTGTGTACTACTACAATACAATGATGTTAATTCACATTTTTTGCATTAAAGACTATTCTCAACTTTAAGTGTTTTAAATAAATGATTCTGAAGTCTAATGTGGTTGTGTCTGATTCTCTCCATGGCTTCCCCCCTCTTTATTTCTTTCTAAAACAAAGTACGACTATGTATTCTTGGCTGGCCTGGAACTCAGTAGCTATGTAGACAAGGCTGGCTCAAATTCACAGACACCTGCCTGCCTCTGCCTCCTGAATGATGGGATTAAAGACATTAGCTACTATACCCAGCTTCTTATATATTGTTTAAAAGAAATTCTACAGCAACAATATGTTTGCCAAGACAGCTTCAGAGAGACTATTTATGAAGCTATTTCCACATCTAGGATAAAAACACTTGAGATTTGCGTTAGTTGGCAGTAGTAGAGCTAGGCAGTCTGTCAAGGTTAATTTTGTTTACAGAGTGAAAAAGACTTGTTGAAGAACTGGATACGAGAATTTAATAGGAAGGAAGGTTGACCCCTAGGTTTTGCATTTCAGAAAGATCATGAATAGTGGTCAAATTAAGGAGACGGGAAAGAAAAGGTAAAGATTTACTGTTCTATTGCTGTGAAGAGACACCATGACCAAGGCAACTTATAAAAGGAAGCATTTTATTGGAGGCTTGCTTGAAGTTTCAGAGGGCAAGTCCATGAACAACATAACAGGGATCATGGCAGCAGGCAGGCATGACTCTAGAGAAGCAACTGAGAGCTTACCTCTGATCCATCCTCGACTGGATAGCCAGTTCCAGACCAGCTTGGGATGTTTGACACCCCACGAAAACACAAACAAATAATAAATACATGTATTAAACTTGAGTGGAGAAATTGAATGGGCCCCTGGACCTCTCAACAGAGCCTAACAGAGACTCAATTTGTTTATTTCATGTGTTTGTCTCCCTGTCCTTCTGGAACTTGCTGAAGTACTTCCGTGTTCTACATCATGCTTTTGTGTCCTCTTAGAACTTTCTTTCAGGGGAAGAGGAGATTGCTCGTTGGGTAAAATTCTTGCTGCTCAAGCTTAAGGACCTGTATTTAGATCCCCAGCATGGTGTGAAAGCCAAGAGCCGTGGCTTGCATCTGTCATCCAGCACTGGGGAGGCAGCGACAGCAGAGCTAAATAGGTGAATACCAGGTTCTATGAGAGACTCTGTTTCAAAAAGTTGGGTGGTTGTCAGTTGATGGGGGCACACACCTTTAGCCCCAGCACTCAGGAGGCAGGTGGATCCCTGAGTTTGAGGCCAGCCTGTTCTACAGAGTGAGTTTCAGGGCTACACAGAAAAACCCTGCCTTGAAAAAAACAAAACACAAAGCAAAAACAAGCATTCAGGAGGCATGCACAGGTAGATTTCTGAGTAGGAGATCAGCTTGGTCTACTTAGCTAGCTCTAGGACAACCAGGGCTGTGTAGAGAAGCTGTCTCACCTTCCCCCACCCACACAACAACAAAAAAGACACACTAGGTCAACCTCTGGTCTCCATGTTTGGGTGTGTACCCTTATATACAAAGGCATATATCACTTGTTACCAATCTTAGGGCCACAGCTTGTACATCGAAAAGTGAGTTTCAGCCACCTGTCCTTGATAAGTCAATTAAAACAGTCAAATTAATAGTGAAGAGTAGAAAAAAAATATTTCTTCAATGTGGCCACATTGGGAAGAGGTATAAAGAGAACAAGTACCTCCCACCAAAACAATGTTTCAGGTTCTGAACTTAGGGTTTAAGACGTGGGCCAGACTGTCTCTGACATGAACTCAGGGGCTGGTTCTTTGATCACCTCCCCCCCTGAGTGGGGAGCAGCCTTACCAGGCCACAGAGGAAGATAATGCAGCTAGTCCTGATGAGACCTGAAAAGCCCAGGGTCAGATGGAAGGGGAGGAGGACCTCCCCTATCACTGGACTGGGGGAGGGGCATAGGAGGAGAAGAGGGCGGGAAGGGACGATGGAGGGGTCTGCAGCTGGAATACCAAGTGAATAAACTGTAATTAATTAATTAATTAATTAATTAGTTAGTTAATTAAAAAAATATGTGGGCCAGAGTAATCTAAGCAGTCCCTGTAAAAGTGTGGTCCAGGCCAGCACAGACGTCTCTCCTGTAAAGTGTTCTCGAAGAAGAGTTTGCCCAGGCTTTAGGCTTTTAACCCAGCATGAGGGGTTGGATAGGTTTCTGCTTTGAGTCCATTGCTTTAATAGTCTGATAGTCAAAGTAAAGAACACTAGCGTCTTTAGAATAGCTTTGGTCTTGCTAAGCCAGACAAACTCTGTTTCTCTCTCTGCCTTCACTCCATCATCCCCCCACAATACCAGAAATACAATGATTCTGGCTCTTCAGGGTTCAGTTAAAACCTAAGCGTTTTACAGGAGAACTGCTTCACAAGCTCTACAAGCATACTTTTCATTCACCTTACAACGGTTAACGCTACTAGGTACTACGAGGTAGTAGAGTTGTCTGGAATTCCGAATAATTGAAAACGAGTGTGGAAGCTACGGTAGAGATTTAAGAAGTGGAGCGGAAGCGCGCAGCGCAGACAGGGAAGACAGCGAGCCTTCATCCGAGAAGCTCAAGGAATGAACACGGGTCTCAAAGTGTTCAAATTACAAAGGCGTAAACATTCGCGCCGCTCCACGCCGGGAATCTACTACGACCTTCCCTTTCCGGTTCCATTCCTTCCTGAAATGTGAGCCAAGCCAGGTTAGATCTCACTGGCCAATCAGCACGCAGCCTTCCGTAGTCGTGTGGGCCGCCTCTGCCAATGAGAGATCCCGGCACTTCGGTGGTACGATGTGAAGTTTGTGGGCGGAGCCAAATGTTGAGTGGCATGTGAGCGAGCCACTGTCTTAATACGGAAAGGCAGCGCAGAGCGCGCAGAAGGGGCGTGCAGGCGGGGCCACGAAACAAAGGCTAACCAATGGGAGACAAAGCACTCTCAAAGGACAGGGAAGTCACCAATGGCCACATGGCTACGACTCTGTGGGCGGGTCTTGGGGGGCGTCTGTCAGCGGCGTCTCTGTCGTCACGGCCGGCACCGCCTCCTCGCTCCATTCATTCGTTTTGGTCCCCCCCCCCCCCATTCACGGCGATAGTGAGGCCTAGTCCCGAGCCATGGAGTACGCTCTCCCAATGGCTGGCTTCCTGTACTGGGTGGGCGCGAGCACCGTGGCCTACGTGGCCCTGCGCGGCTCGTACTCGCTCTTCAGGGCCTTCCGGGTGTGGTGCGTGGGCAACGAGGCGTGGGTCAGCCCGCGGCTGGGCGAGTGGGCAGGTGAGTGGACCGCCGGCGGTGACCCCGGCGTGGCCCTCGCCGCCGAGTGCGCGGGCCCGGCGAGCCAGCTTGTGGAGCGCGGAAACTTCTTTGGATCCTGAGACCCTGGCGGGCCCCGGGGCGTCTGACGGGCGGGCTGGTGGGCACGGGGAGAACCGTTCTTAACTCTCCGGAGCTTGAAGCCCATCCGAGCTGGCGGCCGGCGTCGGCTGCCTTGTCCGCCCTCGCAGCGTTTTGTTTGTTTTTCAAACAAAGTTTTCCGCTGTGCTTGGAAACTGGCCCCGTGCTGTGGATGAGAAGCACAGGCGGGGGTCGGAGGAAGAGTGGCGGGGACAACGAGTTTCCGAAGCTCTGCTGTCCGACTTTCCAGTTTCCTGGAAGTCCTTTTGGTGGGTGGGGGCGGTGTCGGGTGAATCCTCGCTGAACTGCTCCTGAGTCCGTGAGTTAGAGCGATGTCCCTGGGAAAAGGCGGCTCTCCAGATGGTAATCAGCAGTATTTTTTTTTTTTTTTTTTTTTTTTTTTTGCAAAAGGGTTTGAGAAAAAGGGTTTTCACGAAAAGTGAACAGAGCACGCGAACCTTGTTCTCCCCGGTTGGCAGATCTTAAAAATGAGAAAAGTGAGAACAAAGGTATCAGAGAAACTGAGAAAGTCGTTCATCCTTTCTCCCCTTTGTTTAATTCTTTTTGGCTCTTAAACAGGTTATGATGTAAATACAGTTCTCTGGTGTTTTGAAACTCACTATTGAGAAACATTTCATAGACTTTTGGGGTGTGGTTGGGGTGTAACATGACACCAGGTTTTTTTGTTTTGTTTATTAAAGATCATATAAACAACTTAGCAGGAAAGTCATGACAGTTCATCTTTTGGGGACAGCAACCTAATATTTCAAGAAAATATTAGAAACGAGTTTGTGCACTCTTGTTGTGGGGCAAATAGTGATTTTATACAACTTTTCAAAGTTGTTATCTTTTCTTAGTCCCTGAAGGGAAAATTACCCAATGTGCTTAAGCTCCAAATTATATTATTTCACAATTGACTTGCTTAGATTTTTTTTTGTTGTTGTTGTCAGCTTGGAAAAACTTGTTTGTGTTATTTTAAACATTTTTTTAAGTCAGTATTAACAGTAATACCATAGGGAATCAGTTGTCCAATAAACTTGCAAAGAAAGCCCAGTGTTACTTTGTTTTTGCTATTTTAAATTATTTATACAGGCTAATACTCATAGTGAAAGTCAAGTGCTGTGACATTGCCATTTCAAAAGTAACACTTGCACTTAGCTATGAAGGGAAACTGCTAATTCAGGGAAGGGTTTATATGTAAGATTTAGAAAATAAATTTGAACACTGGGACAGAAGAAAGAACCGTGGTGTCATAATGGAAATAAAATATTGTTGAGGTCAGCTCACCTGAGTTTTGGATGTATTTATTTATTTATACCACATTTTAAATGCTTAAGCAAAAAAGAAGTCATCAGGGGTCAGCAAGATGGTTCAGCAGCCATAACCTTGACAATCTGATTTCTGTGCTCAGGACTACTACAGAGAAGAAAGGCAGACTCAGGCAAGTTGTCCTCTGACCTCTTTCCATGTAAACACTTTTACACAGATGCACCTCTCCCGAAATAAAAGTGACTCCCCCCCAAAAAAAAACACCTTAAAAATGGTCAGTTGTTACTTGTAAACATTTGCATGTAGCTTAGATCTTTAAACATTGTTACTCTTCAAATTCAGGGATTTTTTTTTTTTTTTTTTTTTTTCAAAACCAGAGTTTACATGAGCTCTTTGAAG